ACTACTGAAAACTGAACTAGTGATTTTTTTTTGTAAGACTTCTGCACTCCTAAAAGGATTTATTTCCAGCTGTTCCCATCACCATCATTAATGGATCAGCAAGTACATTCTTTAAATTCCTTAGAAATGACCTCCACCTCTTGTGGAAGGGCTCATGTGTGCTATGGCAAAAGGACGAAGGTCACTATGCTGAATGGGGTTCTTAAAGCTTGCATAGAGAGACTCCTTGCTTCTTAGGAGTTTTTTTTTTTTTTTTTTTTTTTTTTTAATGTGTGTTTTGCCTCTGTGTATGTAAGTGCACCACATGTGTGCAATGCCTGTGGATGTCAGAAGAGGGAGTTGAAGCCCCAGGAACTGGAATTATGGGTGATTGTTAGCTGCCATGTGGGTGCTAGGAATTGAACCTGGGTCTTCTGGAAGACCAGCAAGTATTCTTAACTGCTTTGTCATCTCTGCAGACCCCTTGGCAGGCAGGTTTTGAGTAATCTTAGGGCCTATTTTTTTTTTTTCTTTAGGATTAAAATCCAGAATCTATTGTCTCAGAAAAGCAGAGTAGGCACCAGGAGTTCTCTTTTATATCTTTACTGTCAAAACTGTGTTTTTTCTAAGTTAGTTTTTAACTCCTGTAATTTAAAAGTTTGAGTTAATTTTATCTCATGTGAAATTATTATTATTATTATTATTATTATTATTATTATTGTCTCTGCCTCCCGAGTGCTGGGATTAAAGGTGTGCGCCACCATGCCTGGCTTATGAAAAATTATTTTTAAAGCACTTTCCCAACCTCCTTGGCAGCTGCCTGTCACATGTTTATAGATATAAAATAGATTACTTCACTGAAAACAAAAAGTAGTTGTTGAAGTACTGTTGATTTCCTTACAGGTTTTCCTGATGCCAGGGGAAGCCAGCCTCTGTGTGAGCAGGAGGAATGTGTTCCCATTCACAAGTGTCCTGGAACTGCATCCGAAATGAAACTTCTTGGCACCAAGAAATCTCTCCGGATGATGGGGTCTTGGATCTTTGACTTAATCTCTACCTCAAAGAAAAAGATAATCATCAAAAATTGTGTTTGTTAGATAAATCACATCAAATACTCTTAGACGTTATTTCATAGTTTTGCGACTGTAAGACAGATGTCACACAGCTATATAACCAGAGATCAGGTACTTGTCTACCTCTGTTTCTTTTCTTTCTTTTTTTTTTTTTTTGATGGATTTTTAATTTTTTTGAAACCTTGTCTT